TTCTTCTTCTTCTTCTTCTTCTTCTTCTTCTTCTTCTTCTTCTTCTTTTTTAACAATTAAGGTTGTGTCTCATGTAACTAAGATTGGCCTCTGAATTCGATATGTGGCCAAAGATGACCTTGAACTTTTGATTTTCCTGCTTTTATCCTTGTGATGAGATTTCAGGTGTGAGCCAGGAGGTCTGCTTTATTTGGTGCCAGTGATAACACCCCACGGGGCTTTGTGTATGCTAAGCAATCAGTGCTATAGCGGAGCTATGCCCATACTATTTCATCCCATGCCTGCCCAACACAAAAATCATGATATTATTGTTTGTCAATTCTATGAGAAACCAAGAAAGTTAGAATGAACTTTAAAGCTAGGAAATCAACAAAGACAGGGGGGAATTCAAGTTTGACATGCTTCCACTGCATCACATATTATTTTACAACATATTGCCAACTCTATATGGTCCCTGAGAAAAAGGATCATTCTCTCTAACAAGTCACAAATAAAATGCTTTTCCAAAGCTGAAAAAAGAAGGGAAACTCCCATTCCAAAGTATGCGATTCTTGCTATTTCTTATTCTCAGTGAACTCTTTCAAATGTGGCTCCAAGTTCCTGGAAAATATTAAATAATTTCATCTAACCAGCAAAATTATGTGGCTCTTATTCGATCTCCACTGGAGAAATACAGTCACCAAGGCTTGGAGATGAACTTGTCCGAGGTCTTAGCCAGAAACCCAAAGAAGGATGGGACAAAGCGTTCATGGTAGAAGGTTCTGGAGCTGAGACTGAGACTTGAGCACTTCAGCACCAGCTCTTCTTCTGGTCCCTTAGGAGTTTTCAGTGTAAGAATTATCATCTAACCTAAGGATCTTGTGTTCTTTCTCTTTTATATTCCTCTACACACACACACACACACACACACACACACACACACACGCACACACACGCACACACACGCACACACACGCACACACACGCACACACACGCACGCATGAATGCCCGTACAAGACCCAGGAGCAAAGGCTGGATAGGAATTGGAGCTGTATTATGAACCTCACTTTCTCAACTCCTCTTTTATGATCTGAACAGCTAGGAAGGAGAGCTCATTTGCAACACATAGAATCATCGCACGTGTAAACATCAATTTTGGGATCTGCATACATTTCAAACTTCAGATTCATTTCAGTTAACTTTAAATAGCTCAGGCCTGTCTCTTCTAGGCAAAACTTCAAAGCTTTTGCCATTCAGCAAACAGCAGGTAACTAACCACCTCAGACACTTCTGCTTTCTGGATGCTGTGGGCAGCCAGAGGGTAACAATGTTC